CTAATCAAAAGAAAGATCAGAGGAAGCTAACAAGTTTGATCAAGATGAAACCAAGCTAGGATGGACCTGAGGCTTCCTCCCTGAAGGCTAGCCTTTAGCATACCAAAAGGTACAGTGCAGGCTGATGGGAGGAAAAAGTCAGTAACAGCATTACCTAACTGTAAATCCTGTGAGCTACAACAATAACCAGAATGGCAAGTTATGTTCATGAGTAGAATAATGCCACAAATGTCATAGGGGTGACCAGCTACTCTCCGATTGGATTTAAAACCTGTTCCACAAGAAACACCTGCTATTGTGAATCTGGCCGATACCCACAATTGGAAAGTTCACAGACCCCAAAGGTAAGCCTACTACTGCTATTTTCTAAAGGTACCTAGTATCAAGCTACCCTCTAAATCAATTCTCTATGTCCATAGATTAGTGTAGCTCTCAAATCTCATCAGAGAAGTTTCTCACAATTTGTCATAGCCAAGAGAGTAAGTGTCTGTGGGATCCTCACCATAAATCACATCTATTGGCCATCTATCACAACCTCTCTACAAAAGGCTCAGGAACCATCATAAAAGGGGGTTGCAACTAAAATGACACAAAGTTTCCTAGGCATGACACGACCAGTGCACTCATGAACTCAGATGTAATTGACTTGCACAACATTAAGTCAGTCAAAATTTCAGCTTGTAAGTTAAGGGGCCTAACATTAGTTGAGGAGCTAGTTGATGGATTCTGGGTAAAAGAACACCAGTTTCTTTGAGGGTGTGGTCCCTGGCAGGTCAACTATAGAAAATTTTTTTTAAAAATTCAAAGATCCTTCTCAGTATTCAGCTTCTTCAGTTTAATGAGCACTACTACACCCCACAGTGACAGAACAGGCTGCTTTCTAATAGTGACCTTAAGCAGGTCATCAGTGTGGTTAAATCCCGCAGAATCAACTAAGCTAGGCTCATAGGGGCTCACAGAGACTGAAGTCTGCATGGGTCCACACTAAGCCCTCTGAATACACGCTGTGGTTGTTTAGCTTGGGGTGTTTGTGGGAGTGGGGGGTGCCTCTGATGCTTTTGCCTGCTCTATGACCCTTTTCCTCTGACTGGGTTGCTTCAACCTGACTTGATATGTTGGTTTGTGCCTAGTCTTGTTACATATTGTTATACCATGTTTGGTTGACATCTCTGGGTGGCCTGCTCTACTCTGAAGGGAAATAGAGGAGCAGTGGATCTGAAGGGAGAGGGGAGTTGGCGGGGGGGGGGGGGGCTGTGAGAAGGGGAGGGAGGTAAGGCTGCATTTGGGATTTATTGTTTGAGAGAATAAAGAAAAATGAAAAAATTAATAAATTATACATATGAATCATTTTTGTTGATACATAAAAATATTCCTCTGTAAAGTCATAGTTGCAACCAGATTGACTCCCTTAAAGCTTTTGCATTTTTAAGAAGCTTTTGCATTTATTCCATTTAAATCTTTTAATATTATTAATGATTGAAATATTTAAAATTGTTTTTAAAAATTTTACAAAGTAACCAGGGCTTGTGGCTCATAGTTATAATTTTAGCTCTTGGGAGGTTAAGATGAGAGTACAGTGAATTCATCAATGTCATCCCGAATTCTAAGCCCTCCTGGGTTATGAGACAGACAGACAGACACACACACACTTTCCACAAACTTAGACTGCCAATATTGGAAGATTTCTCTTCATAAAGGCACTTTATATTTAATTCAGAAAGTTATCTTTAACTTGTCCCACAGTGCAGGCAGTGTTATTATTATTGGACTACGAATGTCACTGTACCGACATGAATTACCAAGAGTAAACCAATAAGAGCTAATGAGTGTTCTTGAGAATCCTCTCTTTTCACAGCCTCTAAATTTTGTTTATTCCAGGGCTCCACAGTTTTTCCATTTCATGTATTGATTGTGCCTCTCCTTCTCCAACTGCCTTTTCTTTAAAAATCCTCTTCTTAATATCAGACATATTTATAAGAACTATATAACCCCTGAACCCTCATATGATGACAGTGCTTCCATCTTACAAGATGCTTGGATTCTGTAACAGTAATCTCAGGCAAGGTAAATCAAATTTAAGATTGAAGCAACACTTTTTGAACAACTGATGTTTCTCAGCAATCCCTCAAATCACAGCTAATGAGCCATGCTATCTATGGTAATTTCACTCTATTTGTCATCCTAAACATACTTAAAAAAAAAAAAGATGAAGAGCTCAGCTGTTAAAAGTGTTTACTTCTCTTAAGAGGACATTAGTTCTGTTCCCTGTATGTCAGGCAGCTCACAATCACTTATAGCTCTAGCTACAGGTTAGTGATTCTGACCTCAGATACTTGTACTTGTGTGAGTATATCCACATATACATATTAGGATTAAAAATATGTATAGATACATATTAGGATTAAAAATATGTTTCTGACATGAACTCAGTGTCTGGCTCTTTGATCACCTCCCCCTGAGGGGGGTGCAGCCTTACTGAGCCACAGAAGAAGACAATGGAGCCAGTCCTGATGAGACCTGATAAGCTAAGGTCAAATGGAGGGGGAGGAGGACCTCCCCTATCAGTGGACTTGGAGAGGGACATGGGAGGAGATGAGTGAGAGTGGGACTGGGAGGGAATGAGGGAAGGGGCTATAGCTGAAATACAATGTGAATAAATTGTAATTAATATAAAATAGAAAAAAATTAAATATTTTTAAAAGATTAAAAATAAAAATATAATTTGACTAGGTTGCATTACCTGCAACCTTCTTGAAAGTAGTGTTTATACTTCTTCATTGTAAGTGTCCAATACAGGTATACCTTGATAAATATTTATAGAATCAAATCAAATTATAAGCTTAAATGAATACCTTTTCTCGCTAAAGAGAGAAAAGACACTCTAAAACCATTGCTTCAGGCATAATCTCAGCACTCAAATGGCTGAGCTTGTGAGTTTAAGGTCAGACTGGGCTAGAGGGTGAGATAGCTGTCTTTTAAAACTGAAAAAAATTGTCTTTTGACTTGCCATGATTTACATTAACACTGACTAGTGAGGCAGAGTTATAATTTCCTTTACTTTTTCTGAAAAGAAATTTGTGAGTGCCGGATTATGGGATATATGCTCACGCATATATACGTGTGTACCCATGTGCATGGTTGGAAGCCAGGGAAGAATGTCTAGTGTCCTGTTCTATCACCCTCAACCTTATACTGGAAGCAATATCTGTCACTGAAATTGCTCAATCAGGTTTTCAGTTAACACGCCCCAAAATTCTGATTTCGTACCCAAAGTGCTAGGGTAACAGATTCACACCTGGCCATTTACCTGATTTAAATTCAAGTCTTCATGCTAGTTCATATCCACTGTGCCATCTCCAAGCCACTAGTAATTATTTTAATATTAATTCCTTCAATTTTATTCAACGTGTTACTTCTGAGGTGACTTTATATAGAATCTTGATAAAATATTCCATAAGATAAAATAAAAGCTATGACCCAACTATAACTTAAGTCACTTTAAATTCCCAAGCCTTATATCTTATTAACTCTCATTCTCCACAACACTCTTCTAGATTATCAGTTTTAATACTTTTTCTGGGGGAGGGGCTTGGAAGGAAATGAGGAAGGGAGGGCAGGATAAGGAAGGGATGAGGGAGAGGGCTACAGCTGAGATACAAAGTGAATAAATTGTAATAAATTTTTAAAATACTTTTTCTATAACTTGTTTTAAACAGCTTCAAATTTTCTTAAAAACATGAGAGTATGTAGTTTGCCTTTTATTGGTATTCTGTAATGTCCCCTTTTCTCCCTCCCTCCTCACACTTTTCTCTCTCTCTCTCTCTTTCACTTCTCCCTCATTTGTCTGATAAATTGGTGTGTGTGTGTGTGTGTGTGTGTGTGTGTGTGTGTGTGTGTGTACCCAAATATGCCCCAACACAAATTTACATTCTGGTAGGAAAGAAAGGTGTATACATCATTAAATCCAGAGAACTATAAATAGTTCCTAGTAACTACAGTGATATAGTAAGATACACACCTGTGTGTCTGATTCAAATGTTGCTGACAAATGTATTTCCTGAAATATACTTTCTTAGAGGATATAGTACTGTATGAAACACTGCCTGCTGTTTCTTAAAATAAGCATTTTCAAACATTTTCTTTATAGTCACTGTTTTCTCAGCCTACTGAGTATTATGTTCAAAATCAATACAACAGAGTAATCTTTAGTGATTCTTTTATTTCTATTTAAAAGAAATTACTTTTTGCTTAAAGAACATAGACTATAGATAAAGCTTTAAAACAACACTATCTAGCAGCCCAGCATTGTTAAGGGAATCTTCATAGGCATTACAGGCATCCGGCTTTCCTAATCTTGTCTAATGAGGTTAGGATAGAAAGACTTACAATAATAAGAATAATACCTATGTTTCAACTTCTAACTAGCAAACAAAAATCAGTTACACACAAAGAACAAAGAAAAAAATTCCCTGAGCAGGAAAGCAGCCTTTACCTTAATAGAATCTAGTACTGATTCTTTGTTTTGTGGCAGATCTATGTAAACCAAGGTATCCTGGAAGCTGCTATGTAGCCCAGGCTGGCCTTGAATTTATGAATCATTCTGCCTCAACTTCTCAAGTGCTGAGATTACAGCTGTGTGTTTTTTTTTTTTTTATATTCTATAGCAAATACTTGAACAGTATACACATATCCAAACTAGGTGTAGGGCCTTATGAGCTAGACTGTCTCTTTGTTAATCACAGCTAATTGATGCGATAGAATCATAACAGAGAAGCAATACATGGAGTTCTCAAATTAACCAAGAGAAGCCAAGCCCCAGGATCAATTGGGACCCTTCAAGTTATCACATTTTTATACTGCCCTTTTCTACATGGCAGTATTCTTGAAACACTGCAATTAGGGAAATGTTCAAAGAAACAAAAACAGTTAATTCAAGGGAAGTGGAGGGAAACAGTTTAAACAATGTGAATTCACCAGTGAATGACAGATTCAGAGTCTTCTTATTTCTTCGAAAAATATTTCAGTTGTTCCTGTAGGAAAATGATCTGCTCATACTTCTGCTTCTCCTGTAACTTTAGCTGTTCCAGCACAGACTGGAAATGACTCTTGAGGGTGAGGTTTTCTAATTTTCCAAGGAGATATATCTGCCTTTGTGCTTTGCCCTGAATCTCTTGGAGCTTTTTCTCCTTGTAATGAATCAGCTTCTGAATTCCAAGAATTATTGAACTGCAGTCTTCATTAGCTTCACACAAGCTAAACTCAATAAACTTAGCTTGTAGCTCTCTTTCCAGATCCTCTTCAGAATCATCTTCCTTCTCCTCCTCCTCCTCATCCTCCTCTTCATCTTCATCCTCATCCTCTTCTTCCTCCTCTTCCTCCTCCTCTTCTTCATCCTCTTCTTCCTCCTCTTCCTCCTCATCCACCTCCTCCTCTTCTTCATCTTTATTCTCATTCTTGTCTTGATCATCACTGCTAGACTCAAGAAATGTGCTCTGAGACATAGCACATTCTGATGAGACATGACCTCCTATTTCAGATGTCACTGGAAAGACTGGCATACTGGCTTGACTTTGTACTGCCTTGGCTTCCTCATCAACAATAATTTCCCATCGGCTGCTAATGGCTTCACCATCTGAACACAACAGTCTTTTCACTTCCTTTTCCACATCTTTCGAATCAATGTAGCCACTACAGCTTTCTCCACTTTGCTTCATATCAGGGGGCTTTTTTGTTGGTTTCCGAAACCGTTTCCTTCTGACATTCTTAAGTGGTGGAGTAATGCCATGCTTCCAAATATATTTTTTCTCTGCTTCCCCTTCGTTTCCCATTGCAGTAACACCAGCAGAAGAAGCCGCTGGTTCTTCTGGAGAAGAGTGGAGATCACTATCAGCACTGCACAAAAGCATCTGGGAAACATCTGCTGTTTTATAAAAAGTTTTTCTATCGTGAGTCTTTAGGCTTTCAATAACAGAAGGCAAGTCAACAACTTTGGCAGACAGTGAAAAGTCATTTACCTGAACAACGGCATGCCGTGAATCAGGAGATAAGTCAATTTTCAGTTTATCTTTCATGGCAGGATTTCCAGAATGTATGATCTTCTTGACAGCTGCGGCATGTTCTGGGGGCAGCCGCAATATGAACTGGTTCTCAAGTTCATGAGGAAGTTCCTCTTGGCTTTTACTCATCTTGACTCTTTGGCCCACTCGCGCCAGTACTGACGGGAGGCTGTATGGCCCGGCCTGGCACCGGCCTTTCTGCCCTACCCGCCCTGAGAGGGACAAGGGAGGGCTCTGGCTCTGGCCTGCGGGATCTGAGGGCTGCTGCGAGGGCGAGGCCTCAGGGGTCCGTCCCGAATGGCTAAGTCTGGCCCGAACAGGTAGAATCAGTCACCACGCTGGCCCTCGGCACCTCACACACCGCACGCCGCTGGGCAGGCCGCTGGCCAACAGGCTCCCTCGCGCCTCCGTGGCTTCCCGGGGCCTCCAGGCGTCCCGTCAAGGGGGCCCTCTAAAACCACCTCGGGCCTCGAGGCCTCCCTGCGCTTCGGGACGCCACCTCAGGCTCCGCAGCCTCCCTGGGCCTCAGGGCTCCACATCGCGCCTTCGGGCCTCGCGGCTGTCACGTACCTCTCCGGACCTCCTTCTCAGTCCCCTGCGGGCCTCCACGGGCCCCCACACACGTCCTGACAGCCGCCTAACAGGCAGCCGCCGGCGGCCTCCAGGCGGCCTCGAGGCAGCACACACGCTCCGGCACATGGACCGGAAGTTACTTGGAAAAGGGCCTTGAAAGTGAGGCACTTCCGGTCACGAGCCTCCTTGAGGAAACCATTGAAACTTTTCCCCTGCAGGAGGACCCTGGGCCGTGGGGTGGCTTTGGTTTTCGTGTGTGTGTGTGTGTGTGTGTGTGTGTGTGTGTGTGTGTGTGTGTG